GGCCGAGAGGGAAATGCAATACCCACGAGAAGGAGGCGAGGGAGGGATCGAAGGAGGCAGAGGGAAGGAGAGGTGGGGGAGGTGTGAGAGATGGGAGAGGAGGTGAGTGTAGTCGGCAGGAGAGGAAAGTGGAGTGTGGTCAAGTGCTAGTAAGGTGTCTCCTAGGCGAATATGATTGCGCGTTGGTACCCGACTGAAACGCACGAAAGAAGAGCGTCAGAATGTGACAAAGCCTCCCTGAAGATGTGCTGATGTGGAAAGATGCTCTTGTCGAAGGATTTTTAGTTTTCTCGGAAGGCTTACTGTAGCTGTCTTTCTTTCGAGGGACTTTCATCTCAACTTGCGCACACTTTCCGCTGATCCGTTTCTGAGGTAGAAAAGTTATTGCGCTAATACAGAACTCGGCTTCTCCGCACATCACATAAGCACTATATTCGTCGACTGTCTTCTGCTAGCAAGCACAAAACTAAACCCCTCTTGGATGACAAGTTTTCAAGGGCATCAACCCTAAACACCACGCGACAAGGCGTTTAGGGTTGATGCCCCCCAAGTAGGATTTAATTTTGGGGCATCAACCCTAAACACTTAGTTGCAAGGTGTTTAGGGTTGATGCCCTTCTTTACCATGCCAGCCAAGAGGGATCTAGTTTTGGCATCAACCCTAAACACTTAGCCGCAAGGTGTTTAGGGTTGATGCCCTTCATTAACATGCTAGCTGAGAGGGATTTGGTCTAGTGCGGATTAAAAGGCAAAAGAAAGTTGTGCACCGTTTGCGTGAGTAGCAACAGAAATGACTTCCGATATGATGACACGTGGGAAATTGTGGAGACGAGTTCTGTGTTAGCGCAATAAGTATTCTGTCTGGGCCACGAAACCTGTGAAACTCTGTGCAGGTAGAGACGAAGGTCCCTAGAAAGCGCAAGATCGGGAGTACCTCTTCCGAGATAACTAAAAACCCCTTGTCGAATGCTGAACTGAACGGGACGGAACGTCAACGGACTCGTCACATGCAAATTTGGGTGAAGCGATTGTGAAGAAATGAGGAATGATAGAACTAGCAAGCTGGTAGGTACAAGTAGGAAAACCTAGAACTTTTGTACCCCATATTGTCTACCCCACTACAGCTTACACAAACTATAGCATATGAGTTTGACACACCCCCATAGGCAAAGTGGGGGAGAACAAGAGGTCACAAGACCAGTCAAGCAAAGTAAAGCAAGCTCAGGGTGGATCACAACGTCACCACACAATCCGAGCACAAGAGCAAGGCCAAAAGGCCAGTGTACATGCAAGATCATATATAAAGGTAAACAAGCAAGTCCAGGTATAGAAATATCACAGTACAAGCAAGGTCAAGAAGTGAGCAAGTGAGGCCAAGTAGTCACAAGACCTAGCATCGTACAGAAACGCTGATGATCACCAGGCGGAAGTGCCTTGGTAAAGATATCAAGAGTGTTGGCCTCAGAGGCCACGTAAGCAAGGCGCAGCTGACCACGCTGCTGCAGCTCACGAGCAAGGAAGTAGCGGAGAGCAATGTGCTTCGTTCTGTGCTCCAGTCTATGCTCTCGACACAAGGCCAGCATGGCCTTGTTGTCTACGTACAGAACTGGAGGAGAACGAGGCGCCTCTCCTAGGTCAGTCAACAGGTAGGTGAGCCAGCGTAACTCCTTTGCAGCCATGGCCCCCGCGTAGATCTCGGCCTCACAACTGGAGCCGAGAACAGAAGACGAGCGGGTAGACCGCCACGAAACAGAGTCGGAACCAAGGCTGAAGGTGTAACCCTGTGGCGACCGCTGCGTAGCCTGGTCGTCAGCCCAAGAAGCGTCTGCGTGACCTGTGAGGACCACTCGACGTCGCCCTCCAAGCACTAGCCCCATGCCCGACGTACTACACAAGTAGCGCAACACCCTCTTCGCTGCAGCCATGTGCTCTGGTCGGTGTCTCCCACGAGCAACATAGCGTGCCAAGATGCTAAGAGGGTATGCAAGGTCACGTCTGTCAAAATGTTATATTATCTAGCCTGCAGTGGGGTGCTCTATAGCGAGCACAACCCAGTTAGGGTTTGCTATATGTAACCCAACTGCTGCAAGTGAAACCCCCTCTCTTCTTTCATTTCTCTTTCCTGTACCCTAAACCTAGCCATGGCTTCTTAGCCTTAGCTACTATTTCTGACATGCTATCTGAGCTAGTATGCTCCTGGCCTGTGGGCCCACTTGCTTCCACTGCTATCCTGTCTGTCGCGCGCCCCGAGGCGTGCAACGTTTATTTTCTGCCCACCGCGCGCTCGGGGCGTGCGGCGGTTTTCTGCCCACCGCGCGCTCGGGGCGTGCGGCGGTTTTCTGCTCACCGTGCGCCCCGAGGCGCGCGGCGGTTTCCTTCTTCGCGCGGCGGTATTCTGCACGCCATGCGCTCGGGACGCGTGGCGGTTTCCTGCCCACCACGCACCCTGGGCGCACGTGGCGGTTTCTCGTTCCGTCGATCCGCACGCCTGTCCCCGTCGACCTGCATGCGGCTCCTCGTCGCCCTTCGCGGCGGCCCCGTCAACCCGTGCGCGGCTCCTTGTTGCCCTTTGTGGCGGCCCCGTCGACCCGCGCGCCGCCTCTGGCGACCGGTGTGCCCGTCCCCGTTGACCTGTGTGTCGCCCTGCGGCCCCCCCTCCCCGCACAACTGCGTTTGCTTGCCGCACACGCGATTTCGCTTCCCGCACGCTTGTGCATGCTTCGCGCACACCTGAGCTCGCTTACCGCACACTCAGGGTATGGGGGTGACGGGTATGGGGGTGGCGGGTGTGCGCGGTCCCCTGCTGCTCCTCCTCCTCCCCACTGAGGGGGGTGGGTGTGTGGGAGAGGAAGGAGTGGTGCTAGGGGGGTGACGTGGGAGTGGAGCTAGAGGTGAAACTTGGGGTGTGTGTAGGGGGGTGTGGGACTGTTTGGGGAGGCTGAGAGGAGGCTGCCGTCTAGTCATCCGCAGCACCTGTAGTCCGGGGCGCTATCCTGGTAGCCCAGAGAGCCTGCTGCGCCTGTCGCCCGTGGGTCCGTTGCTCCTGTAGCTCGTCGTAGCCCGTGAGCCAGTTAATCCAGTAGTCCGGGGCGCTGTCCCGGTAGCCACTGTGCCAGCCGCTCCCGTTGCCCGTGTGTCTGCAGCTTCAGCCGTCGTCTCCTATCTTCTCTCCTCTCACAGTCCCTCCTCCTCCTCACTTGCCCGCTGTGACTACCACTAGCTTTGCTCATAATTGTGAACTTTAAACTATTGCTTCTTGTACTTGTGCTGAGAATGTGTGATGACATTGTGATCCACCCTGAGCTTGTTCTGCTTTGCTTGCTCTGCTGATTACACCCCACTTTGGCTATGGGGGTGTGTCAAAATGTTATATTATCTAGCCTGCAGTGGGGTGCTCTATAGCGAGCACAACCTAGTTAGGGTTTGCTATATGTATCCCAACTGCTGCTAGTGAAACCCCCTCTCTTCTTTCATTTCTCTTTCGTGTACCCTAAACCTAGCCATGGCTTCTTAGCCTTAGCTACTATTTCTGACAAGGTCGTGTGCAGGTCATCAGGTACATGAGGCAGCCAACAAGCTCTGGGTACGGGCCACTCGGCTCTACGGACTCATTGGATGTCGAAGGCTAGGAACTAACGGACAGAGTGGATGTTGTGAGGTGAAGGAAAGCGACTCCAAGGGAGCAGGCAATCGCTGTCGAAGAGCTTCGATGAAGAATAATGAGAAGATCTGCTGATGCTGATGATTCCGCTATGCAAATGACGAGTGGTGTTTATAGGAGAGTGGTGAGAACGCGGCTTGCACACGATTTCCTTCGTGGGGGTTGGTTTGGGTTGGTTTGGAATGGACATTTGGCGGGGAATGTGTTTTTGCGCCAGGTACATTCCGTGAGTTTCGCTGTTCTCGTGTTCAACACAAGCCAGGGGGAGGTGTGTTGCGACTATGACATAACGAGCGTCGCGAGTGACAGTTCTCGTTCGCGAAGGGTTTGGCGAATTCGAATACAACCTGCGAGGGCAACCTGAATCACAAAATGCACCGCCGATAGTCACGGCATGCCACAAGGTCTGATCGCAGGGAGAACTCTACTGGCCGCGCCTGCTGAAACTGGTTGACTTGATCCCACCTGAGAGAGTCCAGCTCGTTGATGGAAAATGCGGAAGATGCGGTAGCATGTTTCACAGAAAAGGGACTGAACTGTAGATGACGGGTATACATACAGTTTCTCTATCTTTGATTTGGCTACACCTTCACATTTTTGTATTTCAGATATTTGTACTGCAACTCTTTTGAAAGATGGTGTCAACAAAAAATGCGCGGTTCCCCGACTCACTTCATTTTGTTCGCCAGCGTAAATGTTTCGCTTAACCCTTTCGCGAAGATTTTTGGGCCCTTCGCAGCATTATCCTGCTTGCAGCTCCCTTCCCCATTTGACTCGCCCCCACCAACATGTTCTTCCCCAAGTTACAGACGTTCGGGGTTGCTACTGGTGGTTGGTAGAATTTGCTTGGTGAAATCACTTGGTACTACTCACTCCTTGCTGTGTACTTCCAGTGGGAAAATTTCAAAGGACGTTGACACTAGCATGGTGCTCCTCGACACAACATAGCTACGAGAGCTTGGAAAAAGGACGAGTCCAACGGACGACTCTTTTTTAGACGATAAATTGACGTCTGAGATGTTTCTTGTCACGACAGATTGGTGACGGCGCAAGCATGAAACTGCGTGTCGACGGCGTCATAGCTACAAGAGTTCGGTAAAAGGCTACGATGAGAGAAGTGACACTCGAGTTTGATGCTTGCGAAAATGCAAAAGGCAAATATATCCTTTGGTTGCATCCATACTTATGAGGTTTGACACAGATACTACAGGTTACTACCCTGAGAGCTGCTTTTGCGTTCCCACACGAAGGATACGGAACGTACAAAATATATGGATTGGCTGCAATAATGGTACAAGAAGAATAGTACAATGGTACACCCTATATCTTGCGAAAACTTTTTACTTCTTTCCACCCTTGCCACCCTTTCCACCCTTGCCCCCCTTCCCTCCTTTCCCACCCTTCCCGCCCTTTCCAGCCTTTCCGCCCTTTCCGGTGCTCGTCGTGCCGGCGGTCTGGCTACCCTCCCCCCCCCTTGATCCCCCCTGCTCCCCGCCAGCCGCGCCCTGCTCTCCGCTAGATCCCCCTTGCTCTCCGCCGGATCCCCCCTTGCTCACCGCCAGGTACCCCCTGCTCTCCGCCAGGCCCGCCCTGCTGGTTACCAGGTTTCCCTCCCTGTCCCCCTTTGCCCCATTTCCCTCCCTTCTCGCTCTTTCCTCCCTTTCCGCCCTTCCCACCCTTCCCTCCCTTCCCTCCCTTCCCAACCTTTCCGCCATTTCCGCCAGCACCGATCGGTGGGGGGCCATCCTCGCCTCCCCCAACGTCGCCGCCACTGCCGGTATCTCCGCCACTGGCGGTATCCCCATTGTCGCCACCAGGGGGTCCCTCAGGACCGCCCTGATCGCCGCCGACGTCGCCGCCTGGACCGCCTGTTTCTCCGCTAATGTCGCCGCCACTGCCGGTATCTCCGCCACTGCCTGTGTCTCCGCCAGTGTCTCCGGAATCGGGGAGTAGAGTAATGGTTGTCGACCCCGGGAAGCTCATGAGCGAGAGAGCCTTGAGGGCGAGGCTGCGACGTGAAAGTAAGGTCCTTCCAAACGCTGCGCGAAAAGGAGAGAATGCGAGAGTAATGAGGCGACATGTTATGAGTCAAGACATTAAGAGTATCAAAATAAAAAACGGTGCGAAGGGGAAGAACGTGTGAGGAATGGAAGTTTCATATGAGAGAAGAAATCTGATGTTGGTGAAAAAGTGGTGATACTAGTCGCGGAATCTTGCCAGGCGCGATGGAGGCTGACGCTACGAAAAGCGCAAGAAGCAGCAGCGGCAAATATATGCCTCGCACTGTGTAACCCATTGTGAATTTGATGCTTGTCGAAGCGGAACGAACTAACGAAATGAGTGGATGACGCGAGGCGAAGAAGAGGGAATCGAAGTGATCAGGGAGCGGCTGAGGAAAGGCTTGTGGTTTGAAATGAGAACTGATGATAACGATGGGAGGGACGAGTCGTTTTTGTAGGACGGTGGTGAGAACGCGGCTCGCACAACATTGGATTCACAGGGAGGAATTGGTTGGAAGGCACAGTTGGCGGGAAATGTGTTGTCGCGCCAGGTGGAATCAGTGAGTTTCGCTGTTCATATATTTCACAGGCCAGGGAGTTGCGACTGTGACGATGCGAGTGTCCCGACCCTGGTTACTGTGACAAGGGGGCTGGCGAACTCGAATCCTTGAAATTCTACCAGCCTGCGAGGACCAAGTGGATCGCAACGAATCACGATTCACCGATGGGCACGGCGTGCTTCAAGTTCAGATTGCAGGTGGAAACTCCATTCGCCACACATGTTGAAACCGGTTGGCCTGATTGCACATGGGATGAGGGCATCGAGCTCCCCGATGTAAAATGCGGATCATGCGGCAGCAAATGCTGCGGGAATGGGCAACAAGCGATTGTACCTATCATTATTGCGTTCCTCTACACTCAGACATTTGTACTTCATAGTTTGCTGCAGTCCTTTGCGGAATGGCAAATAACCAAAGCTAGGGTACTTGGGGAAACATTTTAAACCACCACAGCTTGGCTTTCGGTGGCCCCACAAGTGAGGGCAAATATAAAATGTTTGGTACGCATTACTACTAGCACCAATTGCTCTTAGCACTGGCTACAAGGCATGATTCTGCATCCCGTTCAAGTTCCAAAGAGCATAGCAAGTGTAATATGAGTACCAGGCCCTCAGATATCAGCGTAAAACACGCTGATTACGCTGATTTTGTAGCTCTGATTTCCGTTTTCCCTGAAAAATCAGTATGTGCCTCATTTTTGCACTGTAATTTCAGTATTTGCAATTTAGCCACACTGACCATTTTGCGTGTTTCAGAACAAGTAACACTGACGAATCAGTATACTTCAGCGAGTCACACTGAAACGGACTTGACCGCCCGGGGGGGGGGGGGGGGGGGGTGACGCGTTTACAGACTGTACCTTCCCACAAAACCCCACCTAGGGCCTCAGATTGGTTTTTGGGTACCCTGAGCACTCAGTGTCTCTAGGAGGGTAACACTGATTTTCAGTGTTGTCTAGTGTGAAACACTGATATTCCAGGGTTGTTAGAAACGAAACGCTGATCAATCAGGGTTTCTAAAACTTCAACCCTGATCAGCATAGTTGCTTATACTGGTATGCTGTCATAACACAGCGAATCAGACTGCCCTCACTTTACAATTCCCAAATTCGGCCAAAATTTTGCTACTTCCGTGTCTGATTGGTCAGAAATCTTGTCTGACCAATCGAATAGGACAATTGTTAACAACTATTTCCGATCTCTGGTTGTTGTACTTGACTGATGATTCGGACTTGGTTCGTCACAGCAGATTCGCCCTGACAGCAAATTCGACCTTGCACAGTCGTTACGCGCTGTCGCAGCACAAAGAATTCACCCAATCACAGCAGATTTGCCCTGACACTGCAGCAGATTAAGATTTGCCCTGTCAGAGCATGTTTCGCCAGAAATCCCCTTGGTGCACGGTGCACGGTGACGGCGGGCCAAAACAAGGAGTTTTCGGTTTCAGGGTAGACCCCGATACAGCACTGAAACGTCAGTGTCCTCAAACACAAAACACTGGAAAATCAGAGTTCGAAATTAAAAAACACTGAAACATCAGGGTCGTTGAAAAACAAAGGCTGATGCATCAGGGTCATGATAAAAAACGGGGGTGAAACTTCAAGAATTCAGGGTAAAATTCCTGACATCTGAGGCCCTGACCCCACCCCACCCACACACTTGGAATCTTTTCACATGCGCTGTACTTACAGCATGTGCGCGCCGAACCGTTTTGCCTCGCTGGAAGCCATCAGACCAGAGTACGATGAACCTAGTTCAACAAGTGCCCACCAGGGCTAATTTTTGGTTTTAAGCAACCCTTATCATCAGTCCTGCACCTTTGCAAAACCCTGATTATCAGTGTGACCCCTAGGGAAAATTCTTTTCCATCAGGGTTTTCCATAGTTTCAAAAAATTTACCCTTATGCTGTCAGAATATTATCTTATTGTTCTAGCCTGTAGTGGGGTGCTCTATAGCGAGTACAACCCTTCTAGGGTTTGCTATTTGTATCCTCATTCTTGCTAGTTCAATCCTCTTTCTTCCTTCTAACTTTTGACATGCTATCAGAGCAGGTCGATCCCCTTGGATCGATCCTGTGGGTGGGCTCACCACCTCGTTGCTTCCGCTGCAACTGCTACTGCTACTCTCTATGCCGCACGCCCCGTGGCGTGCGGCAGTTTTTTTTCTTCCCGCCACGTGCTCGGGGCGCATGGCGGTTTTCTGCCCACCGCGCGCTCAGTGCGTGCGGCGGTTTTCTGCCCACCGTGCGCCCCGAGGCACGCGGCGGTTTCCTGCTTCGCGCGGCGGTATTCTGCACGCCATGCGCTCAGGACGCGTGGCGGTTTTCTGCCCACCGCGCACCCTGGGCGCACGCGGCGGTTTCGCGTTCCGTCGACCCGCACGCCCGTCCCCGTCGACCTGCGTGCGGCTCCTCGTCGCCCTTCGCGGCGTCCCCGTCAACCCGCGCGAGGCTCCCTGTCGCCCTTAGTGGCGGCCCCGTCGACCCGCGCGCCGCCTCCGGCGACCGGTGTGCCCATCCCCGTCGACCCGCGTGTCGCCCTGCGGCCCCCCCCCCCCCCCTCCCCGCACACCTGCGTTTGCTTACCGCACACCCGAGTTCGCTTCCCGCACACCCGATTTTGCTTCCCGCACGCTTGTGCATGCTTCGCGCACACCTGAGCTCGCCTACCGCACACTCAGGGTATGGGGGTGACGGGTATGGGGGTGGCCGGTGTGCGCGGTCCCCTGCTCCTCCTCCTCCTCCGTCTCCCACTGCTGCAGCTGCCGCTGAGGGGGGTGGGTGTGTGGGAGACGAAGGAGTGGTGCTAGGGGGGTGTGTGGGAGTAGAGCTAGTGGTGTAGCAGTGGGTGTGTATGAGGGGGGTGGGACTGTGTGCGGGAGGATGAGTGGAGGTTGCCAGTTTGTCGTCAGCAACACCTGTATTCCGGGGGCTTCGCCCGGTAGCCCAGTCGTAGCCAGCTGTGCCAGCCGCCCGTGGGTCCGTTGCTCGTCTGCCGCTACTTTAGCCGCGGGGCCAGTTACTCCAGTAGTCCGGGGGCGTCGCCCGGTAGCCGCTGTGCCAGTGTGCCTCCTGTTGCCCGTGTGTCTGCAGCTTCAGCTGTCGCCTCCCAACTCCTCTCGCTCTCACTCCTCCTCCTCACTTGCCCGTTGTGACCACCACTAGTTTTGCTTATAATTGTGAACTATGAACTATTTCTTCTTGAACTTGTGCTCAGAATGTGTGGTGACATTGTGATCCACCCTGAGCTTGTTTTTGCTTTGCCTGCACTGCTGATTACACCCCACTTTGGCTATGGGGGTGTGTCAGAATATTATCTTATTGTTCTAGCCTGTAGTGGGGTGCTCTATAGCGAGTACAACCCTTCTAGGGTTTGCTATTTGTATCCTCATTCTTGCTAGTTCAATCCTCTTTCTTCCTTCTAATTTTGACATATGCCACAGTGTAACAGTTTTGAATACCCTGATGAAGTGTTTCTACGGAAGTTCCAGACAAAAAAAAAAAAGTCGAGGATCGATCTCGGGCCATCATCGTTACGTATTCCAGACAACCGACCGGGCCACTCCAACGATGGCTCATTGTTTACTGATGAACAACTTTTTACTGGTACAGAAGTGCGTTGCGAATTGGGGGGGAGGGAGTTAGGGGGAAGGGGGTGATGTTACGCGCTTCAGGGTAAAACTCATTATGAAATCGGTAACCCTGAGTCATCAGTGTGCCTTAAATGTAAACCCTGGCATATCAGGAAAATTCTAGCTCCCGAAAAAAATACCCTAGCCCATCAGTGTGACTACCAAAAACCACCCTGATAATCAGGGTATCAGGGTGATTTACACTGATAAAATTTGCCCTGGTGCCCACTGCTGGCACGGTCCACACCAACACGCCATAAAATATGGCAGTGGGGTGGGTGGGGGTGTTATCATCTTGCATGGAAGGACGGAAACCCAGAACCACGATCCCTCGCCATGGCGGCTCGGGAGAGGGGGTACCCCCATCTGCTCCCTCATTCTATTCCTGCACTCATCGTGATGTCAGAACTTATAGCTTATACTTTTGTGTAGGCTATAGTGGGGTATCCCATAGGGGGTACAACCCAATTAGGGTTGGTACTTGTACTCACACATTCATAGTTCATTCATTCCTGTTCCTTAAAGTTTCACATGGTATAGAGCAGGTTCCCCTGTGGGAACTTCGCCTAGGGCCCACCACTCGAATTCCTTTTTTTCCTGCCCGAAGCGCACTCCTTCCGAGTCGCGCCTCGGGCCTTTCTCTCACCGAGCCGCCCTAGCGGCCGACCTTACGATCGCGGCCCTGCCGCCCTACCCACTTGCGGCCCCGCCGCCCCTACATCGCGGCCTCGCCGCCCCTACTCTCGCGGCCCCGCCGCCCTTACCTGAGCGGCCCTGCCACCCCACCAGAGCGGCCCCGCCGCCCTTACCTACGCGGCCCCTGCCGCCCTCACCTACGCGGCTCCGCCGCCTCTACGTCGCGGCCCCGCCGCCTCACCTACCTGCGGCCCTACCTCCGCCCTACCTGCGGCCCAACCGCCGCCCTACCTGCGGCCCTACAGCCGCCGTACCTGCGGCCGTCCCGCCGCCCTACCTGCGGCCCTACAGCCGCCCTACCTGCGGCCGTCCCGCCGCCCTACCTGCGGCCCACCCGCCGCCCTACCTGCGGCCCACCCGCCGCCCTCACTGCGGCCCATCCGCCGCCCTACCTGCGGCCGACCCGCCGCCCTACCTGCGGCCGACCCGCCGCCCTTCCTGCGGCCCAACCGCCGCCCTACCTGCGGCCCTACAGCCGCCCTACCGGCGGCCGTCCCGCCGCCCTAACTGCGGCCCATCCGCCGCCCTACCTGCGGCCGACCCGCCGCCTTACATGCGGCCCACCCGCCGCCCTACCTGCGGCCCACCCGCCGCCCTCACTACGGCCCATCCGCCGCCCTACCTTCGCGGCCCAGCCGCCCTACCTACGCGGCCCAGCACCGTCCGAGCCGCCCAGCAGCACCCAAGCCGCCCAGCCGCAGCCGAGCCGCCCAGCAGCAGCCGAGCCGCCCAGCAGCAGCCGAGCCGCCCGGGAGCACCCGAGCCGCCCAGGAGCCGCCGAGCCCCCAGGAGCCGCCGAGCCGCCCAGCAGCAGCCGAGCCGCCCAGCAGCAGGCGAGCCGCCCAGGAGCCGCCGAGCCGCCCTGCTACCGGGCCGCCCAACCTGCCCTGTCTGGTGAGCACGGCACTGCCCCACTGCTACTGCGTGCCCTTCCCCACTGCTTGCACTGCTAGTCTGTCGTCATG